TTCATATGTAAAAAAAAATAATACAAGAATACACTCTGTTTTGCATACCCACCACTGTAAACCTACTTTTGCCTCACCTTGTACAATGAAAGATGACTCAGCCATAAAAAAGAATGAAATCTCGCCATCTGCCACAACAAAGATGTACCTAGAGAGTATTGTGCTGAGTGAATTAAGTCTGAGAAAGACAAATGCCATATTATTTCACTTATATGTGGAATCTAAAAAAGTAAACAAACAAGCAGAATAGAAACAGATTCATAGATGCAGAGAATATTTTGATAGTTGCCAAATGGGAGGGGAGTTGGGGGCTAGATGAAAAAGATAATGGGATTAAAACGTACAAATTGGTAGTTACAGAACAGTTATGGGGATGTTACTTATACCATAGGGACTATAATCAATAATAATGTAATAATTATGTATAGTGTCATATGGGTACTAGTTTATTAGGTGATCACTTTGTAAGTTACATAAATGTCTATTTACTAGGTTATACATCTGAAACTAATAGGACACATACTAATGAGGCCACTCTGACCACACTAGGAGATGTAACAGATAAACTTAATACACAGAAAGACACATGGAGGTAGCCAAAATGAGACAGAAACAAGTCTCAGATGAAATAATGAGACAAAACTTTAAAAAAAAGAACTAAATGAAATGGAGGCAAGCAATCTACCAGATACAGAATTCAAAACACTGGTTATAAGGATGCTCAATAAACTTAGGAGAACAGATGAAGTCAGTGAGAACACACACAAAGAGGAACCATTAAATAAACAGTCAGAAATTTAGAATATAATAACTGAAATGAAGAATACATTAGATAGAATCAACAGCATATTAGATAAAGCAAATAATCAAATCAGTGATTTGGAATACTAGGCAGCAAAAAATACCCAATCGAAACAGCAAAAAGAAAAAAGAATAAAAAATGTGAGGATAGTTTAAGGTACTTGTGGGATAAGATTAAACATTCACTACTTGCATCATAGGGGTACCAGAAGAAGAGTAAGAGTATGGGACTGAGAAAATGTATATGTGTGTATATATATATATATCTATCTCCATCCCTTGCCAATGTTGGAGCACCTAAATATGTAAAGCAAATATTGATGGACATAAAGGAGAGATCAACAGTAACACAGTAATAGTAGGGGACTTTAACACCCTATTGATATAAATAGACTGATTATCCAGGCAGAAAATCGACAAGGAAACAGTGGCCTTAAATGAAACATTAGACCAGATGCATGTAATTGATATTTTTAGAACAGTTCACTCAAAAAAAGTGATCTAAACTGTTCTAAAAATTGATATTTTTAGAACAGTTCACTCATTCTTTTCAAGTACAATTAGAACATTTTCCAGGATCGACCACATGTTAGGCCACATTTAAGAAGACTGAAATTATACCAAGCACCTTCTCCAATACAATGTTAAGAAACTAGAAATCAATTACAGAAGAAAATGGAAAAACACAAACACATGGAGGCTAAATAACAAGCTACTAAACAATGAATGGGTTAACAATGAGGGTCAAGAAAAAATCAAAAGATACCTTGAGACAAATGAAAGTGAAAACATAACAACCCCAAATCTATGGGATATAGTTCTAAGAGGGAAATTCACAGTAATCCAGGCCTACCTCAAGAAACAAGAAAAATCTCAAATAAACAATATAACCTTACACCTAAAAAGGAACTAGAAAAAGAACGAAGCCCAAAATGAGTAGAAGGAAATAATAAAGATCAGAGCTGAAATAAAATAACAGTCTAAAAACATATAAAAGATCATTAAAACCAAGAGCTGTGTTGTTGTTTTGAGAAGATAAAGAAAAGTGATAAACCTTTAACCAGACTCATCAAAAAAAAAGAGAACCAAAATAAAATCAAGAAGGCTTAATGACTGACAACACAAGATGCACAGGATTATAAGGAAATACTATGAACAATTATATTCCAACAAATTAGACAACCTGGAAGAAACATACAATCTTTGAAGACTGAATCAAAAAGATACAGAAAATATGAACAGACCAATTAACTCCTAATAAAATCAAATCGGTAAAAAAAAAAAAATCCCAACAAAAAACTTTTGGACCAGAAAGCTTCACAGGTGAATTTTAACACACATTCTAAGAATTAACACCAATTCTTCTCAAATCATTCCAAAAAAATTAAAGAGGAGGGAAGGGTCCCAAGCTCATTGTGTGAAGCCAATATTAATTACCTTGAACTCAGAACCAGACAAAGACATTATAAAAAAAGAAAATTAAATTTTAAAAAGAAAGAAAAAAAATTATAGGCCAAAATCCTTAATGAACATAGATGCAAAAATCCTGAACAAAATATTAGCAAACTAAATTTAGCAATACATTTAATAAATCATAAACCATAATCCATTGGGACTTATTCTTGGGATGCAAAGTTGGTTCCATATCCACAATCAATTAATGTAATACACCACATAAACAAAATGAAGGATAAAAATCATATCAATAGATGGAGAAAAAGCATTTGACAAAAGCCACCATCCATTTATGATAAAAACTCTCAGCAAAGTGGGAATAGAGGGAACATATGTTAATATAATAAATGTCATACATGACACATCCACAGCTGACATCATACTCAAGGTGAAAAGCTAAAAATGTTTTCCTTAAGATCAGGAACAAGACATCCTTCCATTTTTATTCAACATAGTATTGGAAGTTCTAGCCACAGCAATCAGACAAGAAAAAGAAATAAAAGGCATACAAATTGGAAAGGAAGAAGTAAAGCTGTCACTATTTGCAGCTGACTTGCTACAACAAGAACCCTAAAGCTTTCCCCAAAAAACTACTAGAACTAATAAATGAATTCAGTAAAACAGCAGGATACAAAATTACTGTTCAGAAATCATTTGCATTTTTAAACATCAATAACAAACTATCAGAGAAGTTAAGGAAAGAATTCCAACTGCATGAGGGGGAAAAAAAAAGAAATACACTTAACCAAGGAGTTAAAAGACCTGTACTAGTACTTAGAAAATTACAAGACAATGAAAAGACAAATAAATGGAAGCAAATACCATGTTCAAAGATAGAAATAATGAACATCGTTTAAATGTCCATACTACCCAAAGCAATTTATAGAATGAATGCAATCCTTATCAAAATACCAGTGGCAATTTTCACAGAATTAGTACAAATGATTCTAAAATTTATATGGAACCACAAAAGACCCCAAATAGCCAAGCAATCTTGATAAAAAACTACAAAGTTAGATGTATCATGCTGCCTGATATCAAACTATACTACAAGGCTATAGTAATAAAAACAGCATGTGTAGATCAATAAAATAGAATAGAGAGTACAGTCTAGAAATAAGCGCACGCCTATATAGACAAAGGAGACAAGAATATACAATGGGGTAAAGACAGTCTCTTCAATAAATTGTGTTGGGAAAACTGGACAGATACATGCAAAAGAAAATAAAACTAGACCACTTTCTTAGACCATATAGAAAAATAAACTCAAAATGGTTAAAGACTAAACATAAGACCTGAAACCATAAAACTCCTAGATAAAAACATTGGCAATAAACTTTTGTACATCGCTCTTAATAAGTCTCCTCAGGCAAGGGAAACAAAATAAAATATAAACAAATGGGACTACTGCAAACTAAAAAGGTTTTGCACAGAAAAGGAACACATAAAAAAATTCTGTATCGCTAAGAAAAATTTCACCACTGAAAAATATGCATGTACTCTCTATATGATACATAAACACATTAATCAAACATTTGATTATCTGAATTCTAGAAAGAGGCTTTCTTCCCTTAGAGACTGAAAGCCTCACACCTGAACTCCACTGATAATCAATTATTTGCATGAATATCTTTTTTAATTAAGTCAAGGATTTATATATTATTATTACATTCCTAAAGGATAGTACAGTTTAGGCAATCAGTAAAGGTTTGCTTAAGTAATTAGACAGATGTATAAATCACTTTGGGATTAAATGTATGTATTTATATACAGTTGGCAAGCTGTATTTGTAGAGAAGAGGCATACCATAAATTAAGCAAAATGCAAGCCCACAAATCCTTATCTTGGGTTTGTTTTGAAATTAAAAGTAACCTGGTGTATATACTATGATGTCCGGGGCAGTATTCTGTAATTAGTAATATTAATATTTCACAAGAAAACATATTCCCATTAAATGAAAGACTAAATCAACGTCTGCTCATGTCTGCTGCCCCATATCAATGGATTTTGAAATTACGGATGAGGGATGACATGTAGAACACCTTCCTCAGCTATTTCAAGGATTAAAATAAATCAGAACTTCAAAGATCTTAAAAAAATTTAATATAAAAGTTTAAAAAGTTGAGTTTGCTGCCAGACTGTGCTGGAGTTATAAATACAAATAATACAGGAATAATAATATTTAATTAATCTGTACTGAAGATATTTTTATAAGAATCAAGTGAATTCAATTTATGTAAAGTGCTTATCATAGAACCTGGTTCTCATTGTGCATTTATGTATTAAGTATTACTATTTACAACTGAATTGCAATTCATTTGGACATTCTTTAAAGTACTATTCATTCAATAAATCTTTACTAAATTCCATATGCCACACATGCTTTATAGCAGGAGAATAATGATAAATCAAGGCAGACATATTTTGGCACTCATGTTGATCACTACTTCACAAAACTTTTAAATTTGCCATATACTGATAGCTGTTATCAGTCTTTTGAAGATCAACCTGATTTACTTCTATTTTAGTCACAAACGAATCCACTTAGCTCAAAAATATCATACTCGATTTTTAAAGATTTCCTTAAAAAGTGATTTCATTTCTTCCCTCAGCTGCCCTAACCCTTCCAGCCATAGGAGATATAAAGGACTATATTCACAAAATGAACCTTACTTAAAAACTCAGATTCCAGTAGAGAATAAACTAAGTGACTGAATGATCTAAGTTAAAACACAAATTAATACCTTTCCATAGTAATTCCTGCTCTGGAAGCACTGGATAAAATGGCAGTCAGGGCGATTTGAGAAGGTGTGTATAAAAGGTAAGCATCCGTCAGCGCAACTCTATTAAGAAAGTCATCTGCTGTTTTCCTCAAAATCTCTGGATTCTCCAACATGGGATAGCGGGTCTAGAAAGAAAGTTTGCAAATGTTATTACTTATGAGGGTTTAATGAAGTGACAGTTCAAAATATTTATATTAATCAGAAATTAACACAAGATGCTTTTATAAAACTTTTTTCTATACTCTAGTAACAACAATCTTTCCATTATTTTGTACTCCACATTAGAATGTACTGAAAGTGCAGTTGTTAAGAAATATATGCTTTAAAATAATATAGCTCAAGTTCCCAGCATAGTACATGGCTATTCTGATTTATGTTAATCCCTCTTTTTGTCCTTTTCCACAAAAGGAAGTATGGGAAAGGAGGCTCTTAGAAATTCCACTGGGTCTGAAGTTGACCCAAGAAATACATACTTCCCAGGTAATCCAGGTGATTCAGATGTAAGACAATATTTAGGAACCAAAGCACCACCTCATTTTGATTTGAAATTCCTCTACTTAACGTTTACTTTTGGAAAGAAGCAAAAGGAAATAAATCTTGGTTTAATTACAGAATTATTTTTAGAATATGCCTAAGAAATATGGAAGTTCCCATATTTCCTGACAATTCTTACCCTTTAACATGAGCTCTAAATCCTTGGATTTACTGTAGATACCCACAATCAGCTCCAAAAGCAGTAAGAAATCTTTTCCATAATCTGAAACAAAAATTCAGATATAGCCTTGGCCTGTTTTGTTCAGTAGTTAGAGGTCGGTCCTTGGACTGAAGGGTCACAGGTTCAATTCTGGTCAAGGGCACATACCTCAGTTGCAGGCTCCATCCCCGACCCTGGGTCAGGGTGCATGTGGGAGGCAACCAATCGATGTGGCTCTCTCACATCAATGTTTCTCTCTCTCTGTCTCTCCCCCTTCCTTCAACTCTAAAAATCAATGGAAAAAAAAATCCTCAGGTGAGGATTCACACACACACACACACACACACACACACACACACACACACACACACAAAATCAGATACAATTGCGTAGTCACACCCAGGTGTAGTCATTATCCCAAAATGCCTAACCTCTGACATTCCACTTTTCCCAATACATTTGCTCAATTATTTCACAGCTATCTTTGTCTTCCTCCTTAGAACTTTTGGTCTCTATCTCTCTACTTGTTTCTACTCACCCGTGTTCTCTGGTCCTTATTTCCCTCCTGATTTCTCTGCACTATATGTTGCCAACACATTGCTGGCAGAAGTTCAACAAGTGAATTCAACAAACCTCCTGTTTTGCAATCATACCTAGATTTCTGGTGCTGCTAGAGAAAACAATACAACTAAGAGGTCTGGTATTATTATTATAAACTAGAGGCCTGGTACATGAATTCCTGCACAGGTCGGGTCCCTCGGCCTGGCCAGCGATTGGGCCAATCAGGGCCGTGTCACGGGAAGTTGGCCGGCCAGGGGGATGGACCATGGGAGTTTGGCTGTGGGAGCGCAGAGACCACCAGGGGGCAGCTCCAGCATTGAGTGTCTGCCCCCTGGTGGTCAGTGCGTGTCATAGCTACCGGCCAGTCATCTGGTCATAACGGTCACTTAGGCTTTTTATAAATATAGATTTAGGTTCCCTTATCTTAGCAAGGCTCTCAACACTGCCTACCTATAATGTTCCATAGAAAACATGTTCTATTTTTCAGTGTCTATGTTACACATTCTCCATCTCTCTCAATGTTTTTACTAATTCTCAGAAACTCTATCACTCATAGAAAATGATATCTGCTCTTAACAAAGAAACTCTGTGTCCTGCACCACTAAATTTCCAGGCATAACACTGTTTTCCTCTTCCCTGCCTTAAAAGAGCGACTGTTCCAAGGCCAATCCTTGTACCTTGCTTTGAAACCCACGGCAGGCCCTTCTACCTTACTCCAAAGAGAAACTTGAGCTACAGATTTTCCACCTTTCCGTTTAAGCTTTCTCTCATTACCAGCTCCCCACATCAGTTTCTTCCACAAAACAAAACTCAACAGAAAGCCGTCCCTTTCCTCTCTTTCTAGCAGTTCCCTCATCTTCTCAATAACCCCATCTTCTTTTTCCACTTCAAAGACAAGCTGTCTAATCCAATTTACATATAACTGTTTGCTCACTTATTTATTCCCCAAATGACTCCAATCTGCTTTCACCCTGCATACACCACAGAGACTACTTTCACCCAGATCACTTTTCTGGCACTAAATCCAGCAAGCGTTAACCATCTACTTTTACTCTGCCTAAATTCTGAGTTGCTCAAATTCATCTTCTAAAAGTTTTCTACTTCCTTTCACTTTTCTAGAAAGTCCTACCTCGCTGGGTATTTTTCAGTCTTCTTACTAGATTCTTATATTTCTCTACCTACCCTTTATATGATCCTCATTTAAATTTTCCACTTTCAGTTTTCCTGGGGCAATGATGCCCGAGTCTAGCCATTGTCTCTTACCTCCAGATACAAATGACTACCCACCTGGATGTGTTGCAGCCAATGGAAATTCAGCAGGTTTCAAACCAATTTCATCAACCCCCGGATCCCTCTGCAGAACCCCCACTCCCCCGGGGGGTCGGGGTCCTCACTCTCTTTATGTAATTAAACCTCAAGGTCTACTGATTCTGTTTACTATCTCTGAAGTCCATTAAGCTCTCTGTACCCCCTACTGCTACATGAGTCAAACTAACAGCATAGTAACTGGTATCCTTTCATCCATTCTAATACATTCTCCTCATTACCATGACACATACAGATGTGCAATAAGTATATGATGCACACTGATGCATGAATTTGAAAACATGATTTGTTTAAAGGAGTAAACTTAATTTGACCTTCTCCAGACTTAACCTTTCACTGGCTTACCCCTGCTCTATTCAAAACCTTTAACATCACTTCCAGTCTTGGCTCCACCTTCCACTCAGGCAGCACTCTGTGGCAGTCTTCCCCTCTATCTCTAAGCTGTTTAGGTTCTTTAGTGCACCATGGTTCTTGAATCTGGGCCTTCAACTGCAGAAGTCCTACTGGGATGCTCTTTCACCGCCAAATTGCTACTCATGCTATGAACTTCATTTTCCCCCACCACTGCTTTTCAAGAAAGTGGAGGGAGTGGAGGGCGGTGAAACATCAATGTGAGAGAGACACAAGGACTGGTTGCCTCCACACACTCCCCTACCAGGGGTGGGGAGCAAACCCACAACCCAGGTACATGCCCTTGAACAGGAATTGAACCGGAGACCCTTCAGTGCATGGACTGATGCTCTAACCATTGAGAAACACTAGCCAGAGCTGAACTTTATTTTTATTTACTTTTTTTGAACTTCACTTTAAAATGACACTTTCTCAGAACTATCTTCCCTTCCTCTCAATCTGCTATCTCCTTCAAACGTATCCTGTATTTTCCTCTCTGTAACACTGAGCACAATGAATATATGATTATTTTTCCCATTAGATTATAAGGCATATAAATGTTGAGGCTGTTCTTGGCTTCATCATCGAGGACGATGTTTGGCATATAGAAGGTACCCAAATTTCACCTTTTAAATGAGATGAATGAACCAGTTTCTGATTCATGTTTGACTTTATGCTGACTATCCAAGTCCTTTTTCAGGGTCAAAACAAAAAAAACAAAACGTAAGGCGTTTTTATCGATATTTATTTACTTACATTTTTTACGCCTATACTTTGATTCCAGTTCACAATGTACTAAAACTAGAAGTCACTTAACAATTTTCTAGTTTAAAATTAAGAATTTTTTTTAAGGTTCTTTAAATAAGATCTATGACAGTATACTTCAGAGTTACAAGAGTGATCTTAAGTTTTAAAAGCATTACTCTAAATTCACAATGTTCTTTCTTATGACCCCTGAATCAGTATTTGCAGATCTACTAAATCAGAAGCTCTGGATCTGCAGCCCAATAAGGAGTTAACAAGCCCTCCAGGTGATTCCTGATGTACACTGAAGTTTGAGAACTACTGCCATGGAGGTCCAGGCCATGCTCATTTTTTAGCTGAGCCCATATTTTAACAATTAAGATAATTAAAAGTTATGATAGAATTTTGGATTCTTTTGCTTATAGAGTACACTCTACTAGTTTACTTTTTACCAAAAAGATTACCTTTAAATCAATGAGAAAGCCTTCAAATGGTCTATAAGGATTGTGGACAATAAGGTGGAAATTAAGTTGCTGTATAAGAAGCAGTTCATATTCCAAAATCTGTTCAAGTGCCTTCTCCTTTCCAAGAGGGCTCTCCCGCAGATTTCCAACAAATTGTAGACTAGATACATTGAATTCATCCACTTTGCAGGCCAAAAATGCACATGTGAGCCTAGAGGAAAATATAAGGAATATGATGAGGGAATCTTAAATTCAGAATAGAATGCAAATCTAAATTACCCTTTACTAGAAAGTAATTTTCTCTCTCACACATAACCAGGGAAAAGTATATACTTTGAAAAATATGTAAATATTTTATTCCTAAAACTACATTCTAAAATTGACTAATATTCACAAGTGACTATAGCAGGCATTATAGGATATATAATATATATGTATATACATATATGTATATATGTATACATATATACATATACATATATACACATATATACAGAGAGAGAGAGAGAGAGGAGAGAGAGAGAGAGAGAGAGGGAGGGAGGGAGAAATAGTTTTGTTAAAAGTTTTAAATCCATAGGAAACTATAAAATTAGGTTGAACTGTGCAGTACTGCCACAGCATTCAACCATTACTGACATATTGGCAGTTTCATATAGTTCAACCTAAATATCTGGAAGAACAAAGTAATTGAGGAATAGGAGTACTTTGTATCATGAAATACAGATGGAAGAGAAAAATATACAATAGTACACATATATATATACCATATGAATATGGGATAAAAGATAGGTTAAAGAGCTACCTTTGTGGAAGGCTTATCAGTGGAAGTCTCCAAGGGTATTTAAATAGGGAATTATTAACTTCCGAACAAACGTATGCAACTCTCATAACCAATAATAAAATCACCACAAAAATCAAGATTGGAAGTAACAAGGGCTTGATCTAGATTGGTAGAAATGGGAAAAAGGAGAAAAAAAAAAAACAGGGACAATGCAATTGACAGAAAGCTCTTTGATGAGTCTCATACTATTTTCAATTTTACCTTTAATGATAAGCATAGTGCTCAGCAGAGCTCAGAAACACAAAGACCTTTGTTCAATTTAAATTAATCCTATATGGACCTATAAGACTTGTAAACTAAATGGATGTAGAAAGACAGGAGTTACCACTAATGATTCTCACTCAGCAACTAGGAGACGAAAGGTACCACTAACAGAAAGAGGTATTAGGGAAGCTAGCTTGGAAAACACACACAATTTGAATCTGGACAAGTTAAACTTCAGATGCCATCAGTATTACAGGGAAGTGTTACAGATATATAAGAAGTATGCTTCGGGATCTTCAGTTCAGAATAGAATGCAAGTCTAAATTACCCTTTACTAGGAAGTAATTTTCACACACACACTCAAGTGGTATAAAGGTCTTCTTAAATAAAAATCAATAAATTAGACAGACTTATACTCACATTATTATCCGGGGGTGATATTCCATTACTGAGTTATTGAGATAAAAACGCTTGAAATACATACAAGCTGTACCCTAAGGTTAAAAAAATATATATTATCAGAATCTATTCACACATACATTATATGTTAAATTTAGTTAAAAAAAATTATTTGCCGAAAGTTTCTTTGAAAACATGTATTTGCAAAGAACTATGCACCCCTATCTTCATTGCAGCATAGTCATGGTGGCCAAGACATGGAAACAACCAGTGTCCTTCAATAGGATTGGCTAAAGAAGATACAGTACAGATATACTATGAAATACTAGTTAGCCATAAGAAAAGATGAAATACTGCCATTGCAACAACATGGATGGACCTTGAGAATATTATACTAAGCGAAATCAGTCAGAAAAAGCTAAGAACCATATGATTTCACTCATATGTGGGATATAAAACTGAAACTCATAGACACAAACAGTAGGGAAGTTACCCGAAGGAAGGGAGGGTCAAACGGTAACAGAAGATGATTTGACTATGAGTGGTAGGCCCACAATGCAATATACAGATCATGTATCATAGAAATGTATCACTTAAAAACCTACGTGATTTTATTAACCAATGTCACCTCAATAAATTTACGTTAAAATTTTTTTTAAGTTATTCATACAAAATATCAAACCTTAATTCTTCTTTAATCAAAATAACTGTGATGAAATGTTACAGAAACACCACAGCCAAGACCCTTTGTTGTCCTTTACCACCCACCCTGGGTTATCCTTCCTATGGTTATTGGCTTATTAAAAAAATGTGATTATTTTGGAATTCAGATTAATAAAAGTGGCCCAATTTAGAAAAATTTAAGGAAGAAAATGATGTTCACAGGTTAACCAGTCAATGTAAAAATATTAAGTATAACACAGTTGGGGCAATAAGCCTTCTCTCTAAATCTACTCCAGGTCTGTGATATTAACCATGGTTGCTGCTACCAAACCAAACAGTAGAAGCAGCACCTACTGTTTACTGACTGCAAGCATGTGCCAGGCTCTGTGCCACACACAAAACTACCATCTTGTTTAAACCATACAACAGCCGATGAAACATTGCTATCTTCACTCTACGGAGAAGAAAACTGAGAGTATCAATGAGTTAACTGACTTGGTCAAGGTCACACATCTTAATAAGGGACAGGGCTGGATTCAACAAAGACTTGCCAGCACTTTTAACCACTATGTCATATGGCTAGAACCAATGAAATAAACATTTATCTATTTCATGATAGAAAAAAGGAGTATTTCCTTTTATATATTTTACTAGAGGCCCGGTGCACAAAAATTTGTGCACTCGGAGGGTGGGGGGAGGGGGGTCCCCCAGCCCGGCCTGTGCCCTCTCACAGTCTGGGACCCCTCGGGAGATAACGACCTGCTGGCTTAGGCCTGCTCCCGGGTGGCAGAGGGCAGGCCCAATCCCTAAGTGCAGCCCCTGGTCAGGCTCAGAGCAGGGCCGATTGGGGAGTTGGGGCGCCGCCCCGTCATGCACAGAGCAGGGCGGATCGGGAGGTTGCAATGCCACCCTCAGTCACGCTCAGGGTAGGGCCGATTGGGGGGTTGGGCC